GTAGTCTAGGCGTTACAATTATTATTTGTTTTTTATAAATTTTTTTTAAATAAAAGACTGAATTTTCCACAACAATCAACTTTTTCCCACTGTGGAGGTGGCGCGCGTTTTTAATAAAAAAATTCGTTATGTACATTCCAAATTGAAAATACTAACATTTTTTTGGGGGGGTTTCAAGAAGAGACTACTGAGTATACTTCCTATGAGTTTCATTGCAACAGGAGCGGTCAAACACATAAATAATTAAAATTGTTTATAAAATTGTTATTAAAAATACGGAATTTTTAAATTTACAATCATGCAAATATTTTCTATTAAAAGAGTGTAAACAATTTTGTGTGAATAGTGTAAGTTTCATTAATTTATTGTTAACGGCTTTTAGGAGTTATTAATTTTTTTTTAATTTTGTAATATTTTGTTAATGCAAAAAAATAACAAAAATTTTTTCAAAAAAACGGTTAAAAGTGCTTTATTGTTTTGTTGTGAACTACAAATTTTCATAAAATTACAAAATTAATTACGAATTTTTTTTACTGGGTTGCTAAAGATAATAAACTGAGTTTTAGCTGGCCAAATATCCACACTGAAAAAAAAGTGCTGTTGAATCAAATATCTCCATGCTATTGAATTCCCCGTCATTGATTCAATGACACATTTATTAATCGAAAAGTATATTGCTTAAAATGAAAAAATGAAACTGTTTAAATTAAAAGTACGGTACTGTAGAATTAATGATATTGTGCAAATTGTTTCTATAGTTCATCTATATATAGCAACAGAATTATTTTTTTGCTTCTTTGACATTATTCATTTGAAGCATCTAATAGATAAATTTGAAGAAAATGCGTGTAAATTTAAATCAAATGAAAAATTGTTTGCTCTAAAGAAGCGCGCTCTGAAAACGAAAGCATATGCTTTCGTTTTAATGAGTGGTGCTATTGCGGACTGCCTATAGCATATGCTATAAAAATAAGAACACTATGTTTTGAGACATTGACAGGTACTAAATTTATTGAAATACTTACCCACATATATTTATATGTTTATTAAACCTGTCGTTTTTGAGATTCCAATATAAAAAAATATTATTTAAATTCTTTTAATTAATTAATGACTAGTTAAATATAAATTCCCTATATAAATTCCCTTATATACGCGAAAAATCTCGAGCACGGTATTTAACCACAAAGTAAGTGCCCAACGTTGAGAAGCGGATGTATTACATTGCAGCGCGGCGGTTCTCGTCTATCACGGAAGTTAAGCGTCGTTGGTCGCGGTTACTAAATGGATGGGTGACCGCTTGGGAATAGCCTATTTTTCTGACTAAAAAAGATAAGTGTGTTTGAATGTGTATGTGTGTGTGTGTTTAGCCGTTGGAAAAAATGAAAATAATAATAAAGATGTATATGTTAGTGTGAAAAATTGAAAAAAAGATGTGTATAAAAAGTGTTGTGTTAAAGGTGTGAGAATTAATTATAGTATATAAAAAACATGTGAACAAAAATTCCCTTTTTTCAATTTATCGTTGGTATATATTTAACCACATAAAAGAATTGAATTAACAGTATGGTGTTATTCAATCGATAGCAACAACTAAAAAAATTAAGAGTACAAATTTTTGAATCATAAAAATGATGCTTTTAAATTTAAAAGTTATAGTCATTGACTCAAAAGCATATACTGTTAAATTAAAAAATTTTGTTTATTGATTCAAAAGGATTCACCTTCGAATTAACATAGTATGCTGTCAATTTGAGAAATATGCTTTTGTTTCAAAGAAAGTGATACTATCGAATCATTAGAATCGGTGTTTTCAAAACAACAGCATATACGTTAGGCAGCCCGTTATGACACTATTCAATGAATCAAACCCATATGTCATTGATTCAACAGCATTTTTTTCTCCGTGCAGACCTCTGTCAGACAAAAAGTTGGAGACATTCTCGAGACAAACTTGGAGGGAGGTGATTATTTGATTGATGTTGGGGGAACGACAGGTGACGGACAGATCGTCTGCGAACTCTAATAAAATACAATCTGCCGGTATGTGGAAATTAAGTTCTCTAGTGTATATCGCGAAGTTTATTGGACTGAGGATACTTCCTTGTGGAAGGCCAGTATTGCTTGTTCTGGGTCCAATTATTTCTCCATTAATTTTAAAGAATATATTTTTGCTCTTGATGGAATTATAAATAAATTTAGCAATATTTTCAGGAATTCCTATTGTACGTAGGTCTTCCATAAGAATATTGGGAATAACTCTAGGAAAAGCCCCTTTAATGTCAAGGAATAATGCACCTGTAAATTCTCGTTGAGCAAGACCTGTCCAAATTTCTGTGGAAAGTAGTGCCAGATTGTCTGTGCAGGATTTGTTTTTTCTAAAGCCGAATTGATAGGGACTAAGAATGTGATTGCGTTCAATAAGCCAAATTAGTCTATTGTAAAATAATTTCTCTGCAATTTTAAAAAGGCAAGAAGCCAGTGAAATAGGTCGGAATTTTCCAGGCGAAGATTTTGGAAGAAAGATAACGAGATAATTGTTCCACGAAGTAGGAAAGTAGCCACCAGAAATAATTCTATTAAATATTGAAAGAAGAACTGGGAAAATATCTTTAGGGATGTGCTGAATAACATTAAAGTCAATTTTGTCTAGGCCGGGTGATGATTTAGTTTTGGAAGATTTAATTGCAATTGATAGTTCTGTTAATGTAAAAGGGGCTTCTAAGAAAGGTTCGTGATTGAAGTTATCTGGAAAGTTATCATAACAAACAGTAGGGGGACATGTTTCGTCCACTAAGGAATGAAGTTTCTCTATTACTGCCCTGTCTGCTGATCAAGAGGATGACATAGGTTGGGAGTATCGATTTTTAAAACATTTAATCACTTACCAGATTCTTGTAAGTGGAGTATATGCCTATCGAGAGTGTTACAAAAGTCTCTGAAAGACTGACGTCTACTTTCGCTCAGGGTACGTTTGACAATGGCTTCCGCTTTTTTAAGTTTAATATAATTTTCATAGTTAGGTGTTCTTACTTTTGTTACTTACTTTTGTAAGTAGATAATGCCGTTTTTCTAGATTTAACAGCATCATTACACTTGTTATTCCACCAAGGTGCCGGAACGTAAGGTTTTTTGGTTGTTCTAGGATTTCGAGATATGGTATGTGAAGGTTTCTTTTGAGGACAAGCAATGTTCACTGATGCGTCAATGAGCTCTACTAATTGATTATAATCAGCGATTGGATTTTGGGTGTTTAATTCGTTAGAATTTGCATTCACAGACGTGCAAAGATCTGCAGAAAAGAGAGGCCAATTAATTGTCTTGAGGTTATATTTATGTGAAGAAGAAGGTGAAATCGGTATTCTAATGCCTAGGGAAGTAAAGATTGGGAAATGATCGCTTCCCATAGAATCATTATGAACGTTCCATGAAGCAACTAAGTATATATTTGCGGAAACAAGGGTAAGATCTAAAGTAGTTCCAGGATTAGGAGGACGGTTCACATGTGTGGGAGCACCATTATTTAAAATAATAAGATCAGTTTCGTCCAATGCATCACACAAGTTATGACCATTGGTGCAATTATAGGAACTGCCCCAAAGAGAGTGATGACTATTAAAGTCACCTCCAATCAGGACAGATTTAAAATTGGAATTTTTAACGGAGTCAAAGAAAAGTTTCCAATAATTAGCAGGAGTTTGTTTGCCAGGGACTCTGTAGACCGAAATTAAAAGTATTTCTCCCAAAGAGGAGTTTACTGAGACAGCAAGTGTCTCAAGGACATCCTCCTTAACATTTTTTTTCTTATTTTGTTAATTAAAAAAGTTATTTAAATAAATAAAATTAACTTTTGAGCCAGAATTCAAAATTAAATGACTTACGAACCAAAAAATTCCTTGTTTTTCACACTTTTATATTCCGAAGAAAAAAAGTTGTTTGAGTTTTTCAATCACTTATAATTTAAACAATGATTCGCTTGTTTACAATTATTTTGCAACTAAATGATCATCTGTTCTCACCTGCGCGCGACACTGCTACGCCACGTCCGTCTGTCTTCAGAATATATTTTTGACAAGCGTGGAAAAATTGAGGTTATGTTTAATCAAAACAACGCATTTCAATCTTTTTAAAGTTTTTAGCAGTCATGGAAAAAAAGTTAAATCAGGATATTGATATCCTGATATCCTAAAACTTTAAAAAGATTGAAATGCGTTGTTTTGATTAAACATAACCTCAATTTTTCCACGCTTGTCAAAAATATATTCTGAAGACAGACGGACGTGACGTAGCAGTGTCGCGCGCAGGTGAGAACAGATGATCATTTAGTTGCAAAATAATTGTAAACAAGCGAATCATTGTTTAAATTATAAGTGATTGAAAAACTCAAACAACTTTTTTTCTTCGGAATATAAAAGTGTGAAAAACAAGGAATTTTTTGGTTCGTAAGTCATTTAATTTTGAATTCTGGCACAAAAGTTAATTTTATTTATTTAAATAACTTTTTTAATTAACAAAATAAGAAAAAAATGTTAATAACATTTTTGAAGCGTCTCGTCTTTATGAATTTTTAGCAAAAAAGAAAACTCAATTATCTTGTACCGTTTAAAAGATATGGGCATTTAAACAATTTTGAGCAATTGTTGTAACTTTTAAATAAACAATTGATTTTACTTAAAAAATTGATTTTCTGAAACTTTAGGCCAACAAATGTAATACTACCAAGTTTGAAAGAAATCGGTGAGGGTGCTCCGAAAAGTAGTAAATTTCTCCTGGAATGCCACATTATATTTTTGCGAATGGCGATAGCTAGACCGCCACCTTTATTTAATGTTCTATCTGATCTAATAATGTTATATTGTTTAAGGGAATTAAGGTTATCTTTTTTATTATATTTTAAGAATGTTTCACAGAGAATAAGGATGTCGAATTTATGAGATAGTCTTAGTAACTCGGGTGTCTTATTGTTGACACCCCGACAGTTCCATTGCATGACATTTAGATTACTTAGATTGGCCATTAACGGAAGGACCAGAATCGAAAAGGGACCGTAAACTTTCAATGATTTCAGAAAGTTTATCCTGTTTTTGTTTTACTATATCCGGAGAGGAGGTAGAAGAAATTTGTGCGACCTGGTTATTCAGCCAGGTAAGGAATGTTGAAAGAGGATCTACATTTGGAGGTGACGAAGTAGTGGAAGATGAGGAAAAATCTGATGGTGATGGAGCAGACAAGGCAGAGCCATTAGAAAAGATGTTATCACTCCTTCCATTGTTCCAGTGAGTTGCATAGAAAGAGTTGTGAACAGATCTTTTACGCGATTGTGTTGGCTTTTGATGTAGGCTGAGTGACGCATTTTTTGAGCTTCCAGAATGATGGGAGGTAACATTTGTTGCTTCCGAGAAAAGATATCGAGAGGCGTTTTGAGACGTGCTAAAAGTGGGAGTAGGAGCCTCACCTAATTCGGGGAAGTCAGAAAAATTGAACGCTTGTTTAGAAGTTTGGTGATTGGATGGGCGGAGAATTGATTTGGCTTCGTTGAAAGAAGTTTTATGAATCGTGGCATAAGCGCGGACTTTCTTTTGAAAAATAAATTCTGGACAATCTTTTGAGGAGCTCATATGTTTTCCGTGACAGTTAAGGCACTCAGGTGTATCTTTAGGACCTGTGCAAATGTTATTGATGTCGTGAATGACCTCCAATGTGCAGGATTGACAACGAGGTTTTGATCTGCAGAATTTGGCAATATGTCCAAATCTGCTACATTTTGAGCACATGCGTGGATCGGGGATATAAGGGCGAATCTGACTTGATCCCTTGTAAATCGCTACTCTTTGCGGAAGAATTGTGCCTGAAAAAGTGAGGAGCACGGTTGTGGTTGGTACATATTTGACAGAATTATCTTTTCCGTCAAGCGTTTTTCTGTTCATACGACGGGCGTTAATGATTTTTATGTCTCTCACATGAGGACCTACAATTTCAGTATTTGCAAGGATTTCATCAATTGTAATGTCCACAGGAACATTACTCATGACACCTTGGCAAGACACAAAGTTAGCAGGGACTATAGCAATTAGTCCTTTTGTTGAAAGCGATTTATCTTTAAGAAGTTGATTGGCAGCTTTGCCTGAATTTAATACGACTCTAACTTTACCAAAACCGCTACGGTTAATATCGACAATCTTACCCGGAAAAGTGGAGTGTAAAATGCGACCTATCGACATGTTATTTAGGTCTTTTTTAGCATCAGGTGATTTTGGATCGCGTTGGATAAAGATAGTGCAATTAGATTTCAAGGAATTGTCATAGTAAAGGGGAGATTTTGTTTGTGTGTCACTTTGGTTGTCTCCAGGAGGTGTAGTTGTTTTCGTTTTTTGTTTATCAACTATTTGTTTTGGGATGTGTGTGTCAGAGTGTTGGTCATTGTGACTGTGATTGTGACGTTGTCTCTTTGATTCTGGATTTAGGTCTTCTTGACTTGAAGAAAACGAATTCTGGATACTCAGGAGGCTTTCTGCTGCAGAAACCACCTCCATTTGTTCCGTTTGAGGGGGAAGGGGGGGATTAAACACCCCTCCCGTGTCGAAACTCATGTTTAATGAATCGGAGAATAAACCTCCATTTAATAGGCTTTTGTGCCACGACAGAATAAATAAATATTTTTAATAGTACACGGAGAGAAATCTGTTGCTATTATTGCTTGCAGAATCTTTACAAATTTTATTAGTCACTGCTGAATAGAATTTTAGCTTGAGGTTATAATAATTTATATACGAAATCATCTATTTAATGTAATGGAGAGTTCGATGCAATAAAAACAAAAAGCAGCTGCTAATTTTGCACGAAATCTTTATTATAAATATAAAGAGAACGTGCTATAAAAGTATTAGATTCTTCTTATAAGAATCGCTCGAACTCCGACTGATTTTCAGGCGGACTTTATACAACACAATCTTACCTGTGTATACGCACATATAACTCACACACACATATATTTCTCTGGATGGTTTCGAGGAACCGAACGCGTACAAAGCGGTGACGTTTGCAATAACATAACCTAACAATTTTCACATGTTGCTTATATATTCAAACACGAATAAAAATGCAATAATTTTTAAATAATATACTTACTATTAAATAAATATTATCTTTTTATAACAGCAACAAGTATTAAATACTACATATAATATATAATAATGTTTTACAGGACAAAGAAATATCAAATATAGAGAGAGAGAGAGAGAAATATTTGTGTGTGAGTTATATGTGCGTATACACAGGTAATATTGTGTTGTATAAAGTCCGCCTGAAAATCAGTCGGAGTTCGAGCGATTCTTATAAGAAGAATCTAATACTTTTATAGCACGTTCTCTTTGTATTTATAATAAAGATTTCGTGCAAAATTAGCTACTGTCTCTTATGCTTATTGCATTGAAAGTATTTTTACAATAAGTATATGAATCGATGCTAAAAATATAAGAGAAACGTTAAGCAATTTAAGTAATGTGCTCTTTCGAGTAATATTAGCAGCAGATTTCTCTCCGTGTAGGAAAGAGAAAGAAAAAAAACGATACTTAAATATAGCAAGATGGCCGTGCTGGACAACGAGGTGACGCGCTCCTCAGCGCCGAGGAAATCAGCGATTGTGCCAAAAGCACCGAAGTACCGAGGGTCTTTTCAATGAACAAGTATTACTTTAAATGTAGACGATAAACTATATGCGTTTTAGTTTGTGAACGCTGATAATGTTACTTATCCGCGAAAAACTTTAATATCCCTGCTAAAAATAAAATCAGAAATAAAGAGAGAACGTCAGAAATTTTGATGTTTTGTGACTACTTTGACGATTCCTGAAGCTTTTGGTTAATTCTGACTAAAGGATTTTTTATGCTCCTGTTCAATCCCGATGTTTATGGATTGTTATTATTGAGCATTGAAATCTTTTTTTTTTATTTACAGCCCCTCACCGAAATATAGCCGGTAAATGTAAAGTACCGTTAAAACTTGAAATTTGTGCGTAGCCCTTTTTTCACAATAGAATTGCGGGTCTATTGTTACGAGGTTCGGGTCTCTAACCTAATTTTTATTGCTCAAAAGTTTTGCAATTTTAAAATTTCAAGTAAAATGAATATAAATTCAAAATCTAGAAATCTCCACAATTACAAATATCTAAAATTTATTATAAAAAACATTTTTTTAAGGAAACTGTAACGTATCTCGAAAACCGTAATTGTTAAATAAAAAAGGATATCATTTTTGAATTTAAGTTCTAAAGGATATACTGCATGCATAATAAGAGCATATTGTTAGATGAATTCTAAGTCGATGAGAAACAAGTATAATGTTTAAATAAATATGAATATAAACAAATAAAAAGATTTTCCTTCAATTTTATGACGGTCAGTTGACCTTTTTCCAGGTAAAAAAGGGTGTCGACTTTGTATAAAAAACCTGACTACTTTTGAAGCTTTCTGATTAAACATGACTCAAGCCTGACGTTCTGTGGCTGCAATCGTAACAAATGCAGCCTAAAAACGTCAGAGATTCTGACTAAATTTCTGTCGTTTTGTGATTATATTTTTAGTAGGGATTATACACAGACACGATGTGAACTGTACCACTCTTACAAGAGAACTCTTATATGTATGTATACTCATATAATCTTACACGCGCAGGCGTCGACCTTCCCAACTGTTGAGTGTCATGGCGGTTCCTCGCGAGCGGTGATACCGAGCGCATCGTGTGTTACATTCGTAATGAAAGTTTACGCTATTTGTGCATATTGCCGTCTTTTGTGAATCGTGATTTTCCTACCGAAGCGTAGTCGAATTTATGTAGTGTAGTGTGGAGAAAGCTTTCAGGTTTTCGTGCTGCTTAGCACGACCAAGTCAGCGTTTCTCTACCGCGTGGACCGCGTGTCAACCGACCGGCCATTTTGAATTCGAGTAGTTTCCATTACAGCTCTGTCTTGGCATAAAAGTATATTAACCGGAGGGTTTTCCTCCGGTTCTTCAAACATGATGGACGGCTTTGGGGATGACTATGGTCCTCCCCTCTCCCCTCAAACCTAAATGGATGTCGAAAACGCCGCGAACAGTTTAGTTCTTTTAAAGGGTTTAAACGAAAATCGCGACGATTTATCGAATCTCACCGCGAAAAAACACTGCAACAATGATTCGCATATTATTAAACCATCTCAAACTCACGACTCTGACGCAACTAAGGAAAATCCTTCACCAACTCAGCGCACAAAACAAACAAACTCGGACACATCTGACAAAACTAACACAAACACTAATCAGACACTCAGCTATGATAATTCTCTAAAAAGCAACTGTGCAATTTTTATCCAACGAGATCCCAAATCAGCTGATTTTAAAGAGGACCTCGGCCCTATGTCCGTCGGTCGTATCCTTCATCCGTTACTCCCAAACAAAATCGTCGAAATTAATCAAAGTGGACGGGGTAAAGTTAGAGTTACCGTAAAATCGGGTCAAGTGGCGAATCAACTACTCAATCACCCCCAGCTGTCATCTCACGGTCTGATAGGCATTATCCCTACAAGTTTCGTTTCTTGTCAGGGAATTATGAACGATGTCGACACGGATATTTCAGTTGAGGAAATTATTGAGTATGGTGAGGTTATGGGCCCACACGTAAATAAAATTAAAATTATCCAAGCGTGGCGTTTTAATCGCAAAGTTTACGACGAAAAAACCAAGGAGTTTAAGTTCGTTCCGTCGAAAACCGTCCTACTGACCTTTCAGGGTACGGTCCTTCCTCAAAGAGTAGCGGTCTACAAAGGGTCAAGTCCCATTCGTCCTTACTTTCCGAACCCTCGTATTTGTATGAAATGCTTTAGGTTTGGCCACATCGCCAAACACTGTCGCTCTCAACCACGATGCAAGTCCTGCGGGGAAAACACCACCCATGACACAACCAACCCTTGTCCAAACACTTCAAAGACACCAAAATGTGTAAACTGCTCTAGTCCTCATCTGGCTACATCCAAGGATTGTCCGGAATTCACCTTTCAAAAGGAAATCCGTACTTACGCTACCATACACAGACTCTCCTTCATTGAAGCAAAAGCTATCCTTCGACCTAGAAACACAGAAACAACCCCGAACTCTTTCAATTTCTCAAATTTTCCACAGCTTGGAGAAATCCCAGCTCCTTCTTCGACAAATCAAAACTCTTCTCAACTTTTTTCAGACATCACAAATCTCTCATCTCAAAAACGGAGAAGTCCCATGATTGGACCTGCCACCCAAAAATTTGGCACGCCCCAGTCACGGAAAAGAACTAACTCCTTCTACGCAACACAATGGAACAATGGTAGAGACGGTAGCGATCTTCCTAATGGTTTTGCCCTCTCTGCATCTCGTTCCATGTCTAATCCTTCAACATCTAACACTATTGATCAAACTTCCAACCATGAATCCTTCCCTTCATTCCTAATCTCCATGATCAAAGATCATGTCACACAACTTTCATCCAGTTCTTCACCAGAAAAAACTAAACACAACGAAAGTCTACTTAATACTATTATAGAAAGCATTCTCTTATTGTTCAACTCCGTAAACAACAACATTAATGGATCAATTGTCTAAAATAAATATCCTGCAATGGAATTGCCGAGGTGTCTCTAAAAAGGCACCCGAAATTCAAAGTCTCTCTAATAAATTCGACGTCCTCCTTCTTTCCGAAATCTTTTTAAAACCCGATAAAAACCATAATTTAAAAATTTTAAAACAATTTAATATTATTAGAAGCGACAGAATAGTAAATAAGGGTGGTGGTCTCATTATCGCCATTCGCAAAAACTTGATATTTTCAAAAATTTCAACAATTTTTACTCAGGAAGACGAACTTGAAACACTCGCTGTCTCAATTGACTCTTCTTTGGGTGAATTATTAATAGTTTCTGTTTATAGAGTCCCTGGTAGACAAACCCCCCTTAATTATTGGAAACGCTTCTTTAATTCAATCAAAAATTCTGGATTCAACTCCGTTTTTATCGGAGGTGATTTTAATTGTCATAGCACTCTTTGGGGAGGCTCTTATGTCTGTCCCAATGCGCGTAACTTATGTGAAGAACTGGATGAGATGGACCTCATCCTCTTAAATGATGGCTCACCTACCATGGTAGGCCGGCCACCTAATCTCGGTTCTGCATTGGATCTTACTCTCGTCTCTTCAAACCTTTTCACATCCTCATCTTGGAATGTCCTTGACGATCCGCTGGGTAGTGATCATCTTCCTATTCTTTCGTCATTGGGCATTTCAATACCAATGGCATCTTTTTCCTTTCACAAATATAATTTAAGAAATATAAATTGGACCCTATTCTCCACCACACTGCGTTCATCCGTGGAGTCAAATTCTGATATTTTATACACTGATAATTCTATCTCTGATTATAATAATTTTGTAGAACTCGTTGACTTGTCAATTAAAACAGCATGTCCTCAACGGAAAAACGCTCCCGCGAATAAGAATGCTACCTCTTCCAGAAAACCTTTTGTTCCTGCACCTTGGTGGGACAATAAATGCGATGAAGCCATTAATAATAGAAAAATAGCTTTTAAAA